GTGCGTCTCACATCAGCTGCAGTTGGAGGGTACTACGTCAATTGCCCTTCTCATCCAACTTAAGCACAAACAAGGTGTTTAACGTGGACGCCCCCTCGGCTGAGGCTCTGCTGCGACTATAGTCCAAAGGCATTGCCACCATCGGGCTGGCTGAGCGCGTGATGGTTCGAGATCTGGTGTCATAGCCAGTCGTACCTCAGTCATGCTCAGTCCAGTCGAGATTTCTGCATTTTTGTCCAAGCATCAGGTGCGCCAAAAGCTCACCGTGTGTCAACCCTCTGAATCAGATGGACCAAGAAAAAAACATCTCATCGAATCGTCCAATTCTCTTCCCTCTTACACTCAGTTGCCGGGTTTTACCATGTTTTACCCCTCCAGAACCTGGTTAAAAACCCAACCACCAAAGAAAACACCTCAGACTTGTCCGGGAAAGCCCTTCATGGTGCCTTTTTGGGTTCAGTTCGCTCAGTGTTTTCCTGCCTGGCGCACCGCGGCCAGTGTAGATGGGCGTTACGGCCTCCAGCACCAGGGGCCGCTCCGAGCTGCTTCGACTGCGGAGCGTGGGGTGACTGGGCTCGCGTGGTATCCTGGCAGATGCAGAAGATGTCCAGAGTGCTGGAGGTATATGAAAAGCATCAGACCGGGAAAGAGAGCAACACATGCAGCCTGATTGGAACGTGTTGGTAAAAACCAAGGCAGCCTTCCCATGTTCTACCCTAATAAAGCTTCAATACTTACATTAAACTTACGAGAATTTGGTCAGGTGCTCACCAGTTTGACTAAAAATAGATATCTACTACATGTACACAGATTATCAAAAGCTCCTGAGCTACAAAGAGGAGTCGCTAACATTGAGGGAACTCCAGCGGGACTGGTGCATGGCCAAAAAGCAGCATCCCCGTAGAATTCTTATCGCTTCACAGCATCCAGGTTGGAATTCTTTCAACAGTGGCCCGGAATCCTACCAGCTGCAGGATTATGCTTGGCTCTATCGGTCTGAAGCGGGGCGGCTAGTCAACATGTGAACGCTTCGAAGAACATGATCCGATACATAAGAAGTCTGAACCCAGCTGGTCATCATCACCCAAGAGGTGCTGTCTGTCTTCATGAGAAGTCCCAAGCATTCGGAGCGTGCAGAACTCCTCTAAATAGATCCTGTATATCAATCAACATACATCCACACTCAGATTCTACATCTTGCTCGTCCCAACTCTGGAACTTCTCTCCAAATACCTAGATCCCGCCCCATCCGCCCCATCCACGATCCATCGGATTCGCCTGTGATTGGAGCTTGGGAGCTGCGCTCGCTTCAGCAGCTCCCGACTATCTGGCGTCAACGGCCGGCCCTGCGGGCCCTGCGGGCCCTGCGGCCCCGGGCCCGCGAGGTGGAGGCCGGCGCCCGCCGCCGGGGCCGGTCGCGAGATCCGGCCCTGCAGCGCAAAGGGCGGCACCTTGGGACGAGATGAGTGAGATGAGATGAGAAAAATAGAGAAAAGGTGCAAAGATGTGCAAAGCTTCAACACCACTCCACCACCAAATATCCATCGATCTAGTGCTAGTTTTTTCCACTCTCAAGTCTTTTGCAAGAATCATTTTTACAGTGGGTTTCGGAACCATCATGCAAGTCTGATTGGCTGATTGGGACGGGAGAAAAAGGCGCTGGGAGTGGCTCTCTGCACTCCTTGGAATCCTCAGTGGCAAACCACCTATTGTAAAGGAACATGGTCATCCAAGCAGCTATGTTCTACTTCCATGATGAATCCAGGGAGTGACCTGGACAACAACCACTACCTGGATGTGAAAAACGAAAGATGTTTACATATATGTTTGCCCTATATTATGTTTACATAGATATATGTTAATCACCCATGTGAAAAACCCTGGATCTGCGAAATAGCTTCATATTTCTTTCTGCGGATTTCTGGACTCGCTGGGGAGGGCGGAAGTCACTGAGATCGTCGGATTCGTGGCCATCTTTGATCGGACCGGGAGGTGCGGAAGGCGTGATGAGGCGGACCGTTACGTGATGAGGTTGCCGTGATATGTCAAACTGTTAGAAGCTTCAGAAGCTGAACAAAACCTGATGTGAAGACTTCTGCGGCATTCGTGCGGCATTCGTGCATTTTCACCATGGCCTGCGGCGAATCCAACCACCTGAGCTTTGAGTCACCGAGCAAACGACCAAATCAGAAAGTCCGGCGGAGTAGTTAGTTGGGGTGTCAGAAGTCCCCTCCCCTCACCGGCCAGGTCGATGACTGGCGGTCATGGCGGTCAGGGCATCCACTCACTCTTGACATCCACTCGTCATCCAAACCCTCGGAGTTCCACTCGGTTGTCCATCCAAGGCACTAAGGGCGTTGGCAGTCGAGCATCTGGACTGGAGGAACGATCGCGATCGTGCGAGTGCAGCAAGCCTCCTGAGCAGGCGGTCTCGGACTCGATGAAAGACGTTGCAGTCATTTTTCTTTTTTCCCATCAAGCTGAGCTTGCAGTCATACTAGAAGCTTCAAGCTACCGCTTTATTGTTACGTTCGTAGCGATGGTCTCCAACCTAATAGCGATGTCCTCCACGGACCTAGTAGCTTCTAGTTACATCTAGTCACCTAGTTACTAGAAGTGGGCTGTAGCAATGAGGATTCTTCATGGAACATCATTCTACTCCAGGATGAACACGTTTGGGGCCTGAAGTTCGCTTTTGCCTACACTATTTAATCCCATTGGTTCCCACAATCCTAGGCTCCACTCGCTACAGAAGTAGACTATGGCGGAAGCCTAGACTCCTCTTTACAAACCAGGTCAGGAGTCTTGCGGCAAGGAGGAATCAATACCCCCAAAGCCCTGGGAGACACAATTCCATGGATTCCGTGGATTAGCTTCTATTGATACAAGAAACATCGTCGTCTGTAGATCCTTTTCCCTAATTCAGTCATTGGCCACCCACCCTCCAGTTGATCGGATCCATGCTCACTGAAACATACATATACGTGCCGGTTCCGAACGGAGGAAGAACAGGGACACATCCCCTGTCCGTCACATCCACTGGGACCACATCCGCTGGATGGGACGGTTCCGCGTCTTCCACCCCCGGACCCCCTGTAACTCCTGGAAGAAACCAACCAAACCGTTTTCGGGTACACGCGGTCACACGGTGTCCGGGGTCCCCGAACCACCGTCGTGGGACGCCATGAGTGCCGCCCTGGTCGCCCTGGTCGCCCTGGTCGCCATGGTCACCGTCATGCCACGCGGTGCTTCGCGCCCTTTTCCCCCATGGCTGTTTGACGAAAACCTCTCCGTACAGTAAAAAACACTTCCGATCCGGAGGACCCTTAATACATGTGTTCCATCAACAGTCAACCTTGCTGTACACCATTTCACTCCACATCCTCCCACCTATTTTCCCCCGAAGATGGATGCCAATCCTAAGCCACTTCCTAACCCCTCTATACCAAGCATCTCACGGCCGCTCCGTGTTGCCCATGTCCATGTGGGCTCACCGGCCGATACACCGCGCCCGGACTCGAGGGCCGCACGGGCGAGACGGTGGGGCCCAGGCGAGCGAAGACGTCCGGGCTGAGAGAGCGGTGTTCCGGAGATGGCAAATAGGCGACAGGTCTCAAAGGAGAGGTGACCTGAAGTCCGATCACGGTCAGATACGGTGGGTCTCTAGATGGAAAACAACACCATGTCGGGTAGGATGTTGCAATGATGTTGCGATGTGTTTGGGGAGATTGTGCTTTTTTTGGTGGGGGGAGGTTCGGATTTGGGAGCTTCTATGGGGGAGGAGCAAAACCCCTCAAGGATGAACCCCCTTTGAAGTCGGGAGTGGAGGGGTTATTAAGAGAGGTGGTCTCTGAATTCCTAGACTCGGGTCACAAGCCGCTGCGAAACAGAACATAGAAAAGGATTACTCATAGGGATCCCCCTTCGGCCCGGTCGGTCACCCCAAGTTCATCAGGTCGACCTCAAGGTCGACCTCTTGAGGTCGACCTCGTCACCTTCACTGCCCAGCTGCGGGAGAAGGAACCAGCCTCGCAGGTCCCAAGGTGGAGCGGCCCGTCGGCGCTGGCGTCGGTTTCATGGGCGCAGGAATCATGGACGCCACGGCCGCACCACCCACCCGGGGCGACCCCGCGTCCGCCGCTGGCCGTTGTGTCGCCGTGCACGACGCGGTCCGGACCAACACGCGGGAACCCCAAACAGGTCACTTGAAAGCATACAAGTCCTGTGGTGAATAAGTGGGTCTAAGTGAAACACTGTGAAACATGGGTCCAAACTTGTCTGTCTCCACTTGATGCTGGGTGGAAGGGCCGGTTCTGCTCTCCACGCAGATGCGCGGACAGATACTCTCGCCCTCTTTTCTCCACGAATCCTGCGCTTTCTAGGTGGAACTTGAGCAGGACAGCGTGGCGATCGGTTGAGAAAGACCGAGGACAACTCCGGGAAGGCGGAGCGACTGCTGAGCGCGATGTCTTTACCCTTCATGATTGCTCAAGAATTCAACATCTTTTGAGCAAACAGCTTTGCTATGAAACCTCAACCCCCTGCAATATGCATGCCAAATACAAAAGCATTGTACCTTTCTACACCTATATATATAAGTATACCTATATGTGTATATACTCAACATGCTGGAAGACAACAACATCACAAGAGTTCGAGATGGGTGGTGTTTCGACCTCCAAGAAGTCCAACTGTAGACCCCTTCACTTTGCTTCACCATCAAAAGTGGCAGCCTTCTGGACTCCTCAGTCTACCCTTGCTCCAAGCCCTGGGGCATTCACTCCGATTCTCTCAATGCCTTGAAGGTGTGAACAATGCTGACAATGCTCCAGAAAGCCTACATGTTCCCTCATCCCTAATCCTTCTCCTTCCATTTATCCTTTATCTTGCTTCCACTTCCAACCACCTATCCCTTCGAACCTCCCTCCCTTCCTCCCCCCCGTTTGCGTGTCCGATTTCCTCCACCGAACACCCACGACCATCCCACGCGACCCGCCCGCCTGTGATTCATCTCGATGTCGTTGTGCCCAGCCTCCATGACCCACCACGGCTCGTAGGCCAACTCTTTCGGTAAGGCCTCAACCAAGGTCGGCAGAAGTCGGGGAGAACCCGGGGAGAAAACCACATGCAGGGAGCAAGGCGAATGTGGTATTTCTACCAAACTTCTATGGCATTGCCACACAATGCCATGCATTCCCTTTCCGCATGTGCCAGCTTGGAGCTAGCTTCTCTCTCCGCCATCCAAAAGTCCGTTGTTGAAGGGTGCAAGGTTGGTCAAAACATGCATGCCATCGTCTTCCAAACCATCCAACGTTAGCGCCTTTTGGTTGACGAAAACACATGATCTTGTGAAACGTTGCCAAACATCAAATGTAGACAGGTGCATTGGCATTGTCTCATCAAAAGGTGACGTGCCTGACCAAAAGGGACTGGCGTTTTGGCGGTTTTTGCTCCAACACGTGGGTAGGACATGGGAGAATGGCGGACACTTTGACAGATTTTTGAATATAGAGATGAATGGAGGGCGAAGGCATGTTATCTCACCATGTACTGTAAGACAAATATGGTTAAATCGGGCCATGGTGACCATCATGACACATGGCCCTTTTTCTTGAATGGTCTTCTTCCGAAATCGAACACCACACCTCACCTGGTCAATAACAGTTTCTGAAACCATGGTTCTGAACCGACGTTTTGGAAACTAGAGATGCTTGTGAAACTGCAAATGGTTGGGAAACGGCCTATGTTTTGGAAACTAGTTGAAACGTCTTGAAAACAAAAACAATGATTCGGAAAGTCTGTGGTTTTCAGAACCACCTGACCCCCCTCCAAGCCAATCGTCTACACGAAGCTAGGTACTGTTGCAAAGAATGCCACATGTCCCAACCACGTCCATCCACCCAACCCCTAAGCCAGCAAGTCTCTACATGAAGTTACATGCTGTTGTGGTTTTGATGGTTTTTGAATGTTTTTGACAGGCATGTAGTTTCAGAAACGTGGTTTCCTGCACCGCTGCGCATGCCGTTTCTCTTCTCCGGAGTTTTTTCCATCACATCTGCTCACTCATCGTTCTGGGTATAGCAGAACTGCCTTTGCAAAACAAATGGCCACGTTTTCTGAAGCATGTCCGGATGTCTAGATCCTCAATCATTCTACCTGCCTTAAGAATCCGGGGCCCGAGCCCCTTTCCATTGGAGAAGGGCCCGGATTCTGGTTGGCTAGCTGGAAAAGCGGACATGGACGGATGTTGTCCTCCTCAATTTGGCTCAAAACTTGACGTCCTCCTCAACCTCCGACCGTTCCGAAACCGTTCACAAGAACCGACCACCGACCAATCCTCGACCGCGGCACGTGTCCCCCCAAGGATTCTCGTTCGCACGGCGTGTGTGTCGACACAGCGATTTCACGGCAAAACCTTCTTCGATGTGTCCAGTGGTCCATCACCACCTGAGGAGTGAACAACGAGTGAACAACGAGTGAAAAACGGACATGTCTAGTCCAGTCCACGGTCACTCTGAAGAAGCTGAACGACCTGGACATACCACCCTGAAAAAGCCCAGACATGCCCAGGTTCGGCGCTTGTCTCCAAGTGACATCCCACAAGGCCGAGCCATGTTCAAAAGGTATCTGCATGGAGGGAGTGTCACGGAGCACATGGAGATGGATGGACGATGAACCGTCACACCATGTCACACCGAGATGGATGCATCGTGGCACCCACAGACGAGATCGGGCCATGTTGTATCAAGCAATTGAGTGACAACAAAGACGGATGTATCATGATGTATCTTGATGTATCCAGCAACAACTCCGTGTTTTCCTCACTTGAACATTCATCAGGCTCCCTTCTGACCGATATTCTGACCAGCTAAAACTAAAGAAATGTTCTACAGTGCAAACACATGTCTATTTGCACGTAGATTATAGGTGAAATGATTTGCTTCGCCAAAACTTGCAAATCAATCAAGCTTGATCAACCGTTCTACTTGACAATCGTTTTGTATCCGATTTCAATTAAAGCAATATTTGCACAGATTACTTTGTGACCACGGAACAAGCAAAGGGAACGTGTGCCACCCGCTTTCAGGTTGTTGGCCACAAGACCTATACTCCATTGTAGTTTGAAATCATCTTGAGCTTCAGAAGATATCGGAAGATATGGGGGTCACGAATCCGCCAGGTCTACGTAGTCACATACCACGACCCCTGCGACGACCACGACCATGCCACGGCTAAGCGCTTTAAACGGCTAAGCCTCAATTGGCGCCCACCACTTCTGACTGTGCGAAAAGGGACTTTCATCATCTCATATATCACATGAGGCACCAATATCAACATTTAGTAGACACATTGTTTGAAAAAACTCTCCCATATATGCGATATATGAAGAGGTGTCTCAATACATTTTGGGGGGTTCTTCTTGATCAAAAGTCTACATGATGTGTGGTGGTTGCACATGTTTGTGAGTGACCCTCTTCGTTTCATGTTGAACTTTCCAAACCCCGGGCTTCGATACCCCCGGCGCTTGGCGGACCCGGTGCCGGACCCGTCCCCTCCGGCCTCTCCGTCTTGAGTCCCGTGGATGACGAACGTCGGAGACCTCTGTGGACGTCCCGTGGTGCAGTCGACGGCCACGTGATCGATGCCGTGAGGCCCACGAGGCGACCGGAAGCAACGCCGTGAAGCAACGCCGTGGGCCTCAAAAGCCCTGAAATCAGCACCAAACAGGCTCTGTTGAGAGGGTCCCGTGGTGTTGCTCTCTAATGTTGGTCGAAGTGTTCTTGCAATGGCCCAAAACGTGTGAGTCAGCTAGACCTTGTTCACACTGATGCCATGCTGACAAACTACTGCGGGCAGGTAGCCTATTCTGAAAATATTGGACAACAACCCGTCGTTTATGAAGACGCACCCGAAGGTCATCTCTCTTTGGTTTCCTTCCAGCTGCACCATCCAAAGAATCCGGGCCCGAACCAACAGAGCATCATAGAGCCGGGTTTGGGTCGGGTCCGGACTCAGTCCGTTCACTCCGGGTGAGTCCAAATATTCCATTCACTCTAGAGACTGAAGTCGAAGTTCCCAGTGGTTCTGGACGAATGGAACCGATCAGTTCGTCCGTAGGCTTCGCCACCCGATCAGTCGCCTTTTTGGATCTTTTTAGAACCTAATTATAAACATCTAGAGACCCATCATGTTGCGGATCGGGATCACAGCATTTCAAGCATCCTGAGGAGGTTTTGGGGTGTTTGGCCGACACCCAAATCTCCGATCCCAAGATCACAGCACGCACTCCTCGCTTTCTGGGCCCTCCAAACGTGACTTTCTTCATCCGCGCGGCGTTCTGGAAGACGTCAAACCAGTAGGTGGTCTGGGCCACTCAATCGTTTTTTTCGATCAGCCACGCGACTTTCCGGGTGTGTTGCGGGGCTTGGAGATCGCCGGAGCGTTGTGTTAGTCATTTTGGGCTTCAAATGAACAAATGGGGTGGTTTTGCAGGGATGGTGAAGATGGTGAAGGGGCTTCAACCGCGTTCCTACCTGCTGAAGGTGTGTGGCGCATGCGGGAAGACCTACCAGGTTGGTTTGCTGCTCCATCTATCCCATATCCAATATCCAGGGATTCCATTCTCTCCACGACGCATGGCGCCGCTCAGGAGAACCATGGCACCACTCAGTCGAAGGAAGTGTCAACTACTGTTTTTCTGCTTCGACCAACAAGGATCCCAGGACCGCGCTCGGTCTCAGCACTCTGAACCTCCAAGGGAACCTCCTTTCAGGACCCGGAAGACCGTGGAAGACGACGAAACGCCCCGTCGCGCCCGATGGGGGGGCCCCCAGCGCCCATCTCACCCCCATCCGGGTCCCTGAGACACCTGGACGCAGGACATTCCAACTGATGTAACAAGCAAAACACCTCTTGGACCAACGACCAGAAACAAGAAGCAAGTATACCACATAACTGACTAAAAGACCGCAAAAAGAGATCGAACAAAAGGACACCACCCCACACCGGCTGGAAATAGTCACAAAACATGCAATGCCAACATGTACAAAAGACATGCAAACAATTCGATATAGATATTTGACACGTGTTTGTTGTGGCCAAGATGTGGCATAGCAGCTCCCAAAAAGAACGAACGGTGCTATGCCAAACAAACGGTGTTCTCTGCCGGCAGACCGGCGGAACCGGCACAGCGGAACCGGCACCGCGGGTGAGGCCTTCACGTTGTGGATGACGCTGAGGCCACTCTTCATGGCACTGGCGTTGCGGTGCTTTAGCGAGTGCAGGATGGTGCATGTGTGGAGGGTGATGCTTCTCCAAACAACCCTTTCGTGGGATAATACAGTAGGTAATATACTACTTACTATTATGATGATGATGACTATTAATATATATTATTGTAATATATTGTATTTTACGATATTCTATCCATTCCAGGCGGTACGGGAGGCTCCTTTCATTTTTCCATACCCAAAATGTATCGAGGCACCGTTGTACCAAAACGAGATGTGCAAATCCAACATCATCGAATTACTCTAAACGGCTACGTTCTTGAAGGACTGATATGGCCAGCCATCGAATTAGTCAGCTGCAAGCATGAACGGCATATGAACAACAGGCCAACAGGCATCATGAACATGAACCACACCGGCATATTATTCCTGTCTGCCCGACATTGGAGCCATTGGATGTTCACCATAATGTAAGCCCTGGAAGCCCAAGACCTTTTCTAAAATGGTTGATCCGGATTTGTAGTGTAAAATCCTTAGTAAAGTAGTGGCTGTTCGGTAGAGGCTATTTGACAGATGGTGGTTCGAATTGTGGGGTGAATACAGGGCTAGATGCTTCTTTTCTGTATACAATGGTCGAAATGACCCAAGCTCGCTGAAGGAAGCAAGCATCAACAGCTGGCAAT